ACTTTATTAGTTTCATTGTATGATTTTTATTAAATTGTGATAAAATTGGTCACTACTTTATTGCTATGGTTAATCTTTAATTAATAAAGTGAGTTTTCTACATAAAAACAAGCAAAACGAAAAAAAGTGTTTGTTTATCGATGCGATAGGACTACTAAAGAAAAAAAAGATTCTCTTTTTCATCAAACATAGAAAACCAACCACTTTATCAACAGGTAGGACTAAAAAATTGATTTTTTAAAGGTATTGTAAATATTTTATCGATACGGTGGGACTAGAATTTTTTAAATGCGTATTCGAAATTTGAAATATTTATCAACGTGTTAGAGTTGTAATTTTTTAGAAATTCTCTAATTTTCTTAGAGACAAAATTTTTCTACCATTTCATCAACAAGGTAGGACTGAAATGAATAAAATTAAAACTAGAATGTTTTGAAATATTTCTTAATTAATAAAATGGTGACCCAATAATCAATAAATAACCCAAAAAAATGTTTGATTTTTATTAAATTGAGACAAAATTGAGTAGTTTACAAAAATGACCACTACTTTATTAGTGTGGTTTTTCTATAATTAATAAACCATTAAAATGTCTTTTATTTTATTTATCGATACGATAGGACTACTTTTTACCAAAAGAATTTAGTAAAACCACTTTATTAACGTGGTAGGACTAGAAAAAACACATTTAAAATATAAAAAATTCGGACACATTCTTGTTTTTAAAACATCTAGTGATTCCGCATAAATAAAATCTTCCTCTAAACCTTTTTTGTGTTTTTTTATGTAATTGGCTACGACTTTATTAATTTCGTTGAATGATTTTTATTAAATTGGGATAAAATTGGCCACTACTTTATTGGTATGGTGAATCTTTAATTAATAAAGTGAGTTTTAAACAATTTCTACAGAAAAACAAGCAAAACGAAAGAAAGTGTTTGTTTATCGATGCGATAGGACTACTAAATAAAAACTTTTTATTCTCTTTTTCATCAAAAATATAGAAAACCAACCACTTTATCAACAAGCAGGACTAGAAAATTGTTTTTTTTTTTAAAGGAATTGTAAATATTTTATCGATACGGTGGAACTAAATTTTTTTAAATGCATATTCAAAATTTGAAATATTTATCAACGTGTTAGAGTTGTAATTTTTAAGAAATTTTCTAATT